CATCACCAAGGCACGTCACCACCGGGTCAAACAACGAGGTACTTAGCCAAAAAATTTATACATCACAAAAAATGGTACGTGGCCAAAAACGGTTACATCACCTATTTATCCTCACCCCACTTTTTATCTACATCCATCTAAAGAAACTTTCAATTAAAAATATTTCAGAATTATTTAAATATTCTAACGAAATTATATACTAACTTTAAAATATTTATTCAAAACACAAAAAATAATTATTATAGATTTAATAATATTCATATTATTAATAATTCTATATATTTTTTTGAAATTCATCTAGAAAGTATATATTAACAATATAAATAATAATTTTATGAATTATTCAAATAATAAAAATTTAACATTAAAAATAAAACATTATTTAAATATTTAAATAAGTAAATATCTTAAATAACAAAACATTAAAAATAGTTAAAACATTATATATCAAAATATTTAATATAACGTAAAAAGATTAAATAAATATAATTCAAATAATGAAAAATTTTGCATATTATTTAAATATTTAAATAACGAAATATAACATCAATAAGTTTTAAATAGTTAAAATTAAGAAATTATGTAATAAAATTAAAAAGTTCTTAAAATTAGAAAAGTAATTATTATATATTTCATAATATTCATATTAATAATAATTTAATATTTTACAAAATTAATGACAAATTATGTAATAATAATACTAATTATAATTTTATGCCTAATTAAATTCAATAAATAATTAATATTTTAAAATTTTAATAAAAATATTATTTAAATAACTAAATAATATTGTGAATAACTAATTTCACTTATATCAATTAATAATTATAGAAAATAAGTTTCAAAAAAATAATATTTATTTGTAATAATTTTACAATAATAGTGTACATTCATTATATATTTATATTCATATATATACTAAAATTAATAGTCATTTTATTTTTAGTAATTATTTATTGCATTTTTTATCAATATTTTTTCAAAAAGTTTTTATAAATCTATTTTTGCTTTGTTATATAACAGTAAATTGTCATTAATTATTGGAGATTAAACAACTATTATTTAACTTTTGAAATTTAATTTATCGTATTTTTTGTTATAAATTTACTTTTAATAATTATGTATTTTTATAATTTTTTATTAATATTTATTAGAGAATAAACTATAATTTGAGATTACACTATTTATTGACTAATTTAATATATTTTAAGTATTTATTGTATTTTTGTAATTATTATATTTTTATTAGATATCTATTGTGTTTTCATTATAAATTTATATTGAATAATTGTGTATTTTTTTTATAAATTTTCAATAATTATAAAAGATTAAACTATTGTTATTTATTAGAGATTAGACTATTAATTAAGCTAAAATTAGGAATGTTCAAGAATTGGTTCAATTCGATTGTAGGCTATTTCTCTAACCAAATTGACCTGGTTAGGTCGGGAGTTTGTCACTCAAAACAATTGACCATTAGTCAAAACCTGCCAAATCGGGTTGTAGCAATTTGGGTCTATTTTCGATTTGGTTTATTTGTTCAAAATATTTAAACTTAAAATTTAAATTTAAATTTAATAAATTACAGTGGTATTATTAAAAAATTAAATTTATTATATAAAATATTTTAGACTAAGAAATATGAGAATTTTCCACTTTTCTGTATTAAAAAATTATATTTAAAATATAAAATATTAATATATATATATATATATATGATCGGATCGGTTCAGTTTTGATTGGTTTACTAATGGACAAATTGAAACTAACCTAACTTGGTCGAGTTGGAAAGTTGCTAAACCAAAACCAATATGAAATACTAGAAAATCGACCAATTCAAGTTGAGTTTAATTGGATTGGTTATTAAAAAGTTACAATACAAAACAATTATATATTCCTATGTATTCTATTGTTTAACTTTGGCTTAACAAAACCCGTATATCGCACGGGTTCCCACTAGTATAAATATATAACTTCTGGAGGTGGTTCTAGAGTTAGGCACGAACACTTCATTTTCTTCAATTTGTGTTTTGCCTCTTTACTTGTCCTCCCAGGAAAATAGATTTATTGTTGTTACAATATATAACTTCTAGAGTTAGGCACGGGTTCCCACTAGTATAAATATATAACTTCTGGAGGTGGTTCTAGAGTTAGGCACGAACACTTCGTTTTCTTCAATTTGTGTTTTGCCTCTTTACTTGTCCTCCCAGGAAAATAGATTTATTGTTGTTAGTGGGTGCTTATGGGAGACTCTACCACTAGACTTTGTTTGGGTTCTGGTTAGTTTCGCAATTGAATAAAAAAACTAAACTAACTAGCAAGTGCTAGCTGAATGTTTTTGTTTCCATGATTGGGTAGAAGTAGTGCCATTATGCTCAAGTAGTTTGCTCACCATATAAAACCTTCCCATTAATATACATTAGTATGCATATATTGGAGACTAGATCTGCTACAAAGATAAACTCAAACATGACCTGTAGTTGCCCATTCAAGCATGTTTTGTATTTGTATTTGTCATTGAAGGGTAGTACTTTTAGGGGGTGTTTGACAACATGGCTGGTTTTGTTTCCAAAAACAAAAATAGTAGCTACATCAACAAATTCTATTACTTTTTTCTAATATGAAAGTTTTTGTGTTTTCAAAAACCTACCATGTTGTTGAACACCCCTTTACATGGCAAGATGGGAATCATGCTTGACATGTAGTGCTATAGATCATCTTGGAAATTGTATTGGTAGTATTTTGGTAGTAGTAGATCTATACTATTTATTTAGGGTATCTATTTAATCACTAAGGAGGTGTTGACCAATGTGAATTGTTTTTCTTGTTGCTAGTCCAAAAGCAAAACAAAACAAGAGAAAAAAATTTAATATATATTAGATTAAATAATTTCTTATTCAAACAAGTGGCATCTTATGTTCTCAAGAAAGAGCACCTTAAAAGTGGTTATTCACACTCTCAGATCCATTAAAAAAAGTATGAGCTTTCAATGGTAGTTACCTCCATTCTCAATAAGGTTAATGGTAATTACCTCCACTGAAAAGAAAAAAAAATCTCAATTCAAATGATTTAAGATCCATAGAGTGGGTTATTATTTAGTAATAAAACTTGATTTAATCTCTTAAATTATTTAACAAAAAGAATGAGTGTCAAATAAAAACTTTCAGAATAAATGAAACAAAGTGAATTTAAAAATCAGAATACTAGACTTGTACTTAGTACAAGGTTATTCTCTAGTTGGTTACTTAAAACAAAATCACAAAAAACATGTTCTTGGTTATGTGTGTGCTTTTGGTTTCTAAAACTGAAACAAAAAAAAAATGTGTTCTGAAATTCTTTGTAGAAAGAACATATTTTCATATGGTTATTTGATATCAAGTTTTATAAATCATATAATTTCTATACTGTAAAGTCTGTTTTTGTTTTTAGAAAAACATTATTTACATGGCTTCAAAAACATGTATTCTTTTTTAAACAAAACCAACTTATTTTTAATTTTCAAAACAAAAAATGGTTCAAGAATGCATTCTTGTTTTTTGGCAATTTCAAAAGCAAAAACATGCATGTTGTAGAACACCCCTAAATTTAAGGGATATTGGCCACTGTGTTTAGTTTAATTTTATTTCTGAAAACAACTTCAACTGCCATATCAACAAAATAGTCTGGATGTTGTTTGGCAAATATGGAAGTTGTTTTTAATTTGTTTCCAAGGCTCAGTTTGGAAATAGTACAAATTCAAATATGTACAGCATAAATACATACAAAATATAAGATTTTGCACTCTACATATTTGCATTTGTACTCCTTCCAAACTCAGCCCACAGCTCAATTTGGATGAAGTACAAATACAAATAGATAAAAAAAAAAAAAATTCAAGGTTTTGTATTGTACAAATTTGTATTTGTACTCCTTCCAAACTGAGCTCAAGGGATTAAAAAAACACACACACACAAACCATATTCATTGGTCAACACCCGCTTAAATGTTAGAAGGGTTACTAAAAGACCCAGGGGAAATTGAAAGGGATTTCAAAAGGGGAAAACTATTGGGCTTTTGAGAAGTCATTGAATGCAATTGTAAGGATCCCTTTGTTGATTCACTCATCAAACACCTTGATGTTTAAACCATGCATACAAGTGGTTTGTTTGATAGTTAAACCAGTACTATTTTCAGGTCTTGTTTGAAACTACACTTTTTTAAACCAATAATTTAATTAGGATGAAGCATAGTATGTCCATGGGAAATGAAGACCTACAAATATATGGTTGGGCATGAGAAACTGCATCTCTCTCTCTCTCTCTCTCTCTCTCTCTCTCTCTCTCTCTCTCTCTCTCTTATCTATCTATCTCTATCTCCAATAAAGAGAACCTATCATCGTGGCTCAGGTGTGAATACAACAAGCCACATATTTCCATTGATCATTATACAATGGAATATTTTTACAATTGATCTTGATAGCAATGTTTCTATGCGTGCTAGAAATGAAAAATAAATCAGAGTTGTAATTAAGCTCGCCAAGGCCTCATGGTAGATATGTATAATATATTATGATGGCTGAAGCTGAATGTCTTACTTTTTGTCTTTTACTGAATGACTTATTAAGGAGGCTGCAAGCTCCATATATAATTGCTGAAGCTGAAACTGGTTGATTAATATACACCAGATATTTTATTGTATATATATTTAATTATTATTCGAAAGACAAAGTAAAAGTCATCCAGTTCATCCAGCCACTTCATCCGTTATATATCGAACAGCCCTTAATACTACAGTATTAGACAACCTGATAAATAAAAAAAGAAAGAAAGAAAGAAGTATTTTCTAAATATCATGTTATTGACCATTAAAAAAAGCGAAGATACAAATGTGCCTGACAATGAACAATTTACAATTGAAAGGCTGACATAAAAACCAAAGGACAATGGGATATTACTCCACCTAAAAGCCAAGTTTGAATGGAGATTCTTTCAAAAGAGATCTTTCTTCAACTCTGGAATCAGTTTTTCCCTAATTCTAGATAGTCAAAATGTTTCACCAGCTGCAAATTAAACTGGGTCCTCTCATATAGACCATTAATTTTCAGTAGATAATCCAGAATAAACTGTAGTAGGTTCATCCTTATGTCACTACAAGTTAGGAAAGCAGTCCACGAGAGGAGCATCTACATCATAATCTTGGGGCAATAGTGCCAAATTTGACTGTTGATATGATGTTGCCTCACTCAGTTGTGACGCCAGTAATTTGTCCAGAGTCTTCCAGTCAACCAAATTCCCTCCATGACTGTTCCTGTCATTATCATAGTCATCTTTGGTCATATTCTCCAGACCTTCTTTGGTAGCCAAACCAGCGGACAGTGTAGGACTGTCCAACTGTGGGAGTTCTATGAGTTGGTGATGATCTACATAAGCACTCTTGGATCCAAATTCCTGCTCATAACTAACTGCCTGATAATGAAAATCGGTTCCTTGATAAGCTTCAGTTGCCCGTGTAGGAACTGTAATATCTGAATAGAAAGATCGAATTCCGATATTGTCATGATCCTTTGCATAATAAGGGCGATTCCACGTCTGGAAACTTTGTGGGTGGCTGCTTGGACCCTGCTTCTTGAATGCACGGCACACGACCCAACCCTCTTCCTGCAGTCTCAAACTAACCAATATTAGTAATGAAATATCGATATAGTGATTTTGTCAAAATAAGTACAGAAACTGATGCACGATGAGCTTGCCTGAGGAGGTGCAAATTCAGATGTTTGGAGTCGATATTCATGCATGATCCAGTCAGTTTTTCTCCCATTGGGTGCTCGACCCTTGTAGAAGACTAGGGTCTTCCTCATCCCAATAATTCTGTTCTTGGACAGCACAGCCTTATCTCTTCCTGTTGCCTTCCAGAACCCAGCAGCAGTAGCTCTGTTGGTCCTTGTTCCAGTTGGATATTTCTTGTCCTTGTGACTGAAGAAGTACCATTCGTTCCGTTCTTCATAACCAAGCTTGCATCTGTCTGTAGGGATTAAAATTTAAAAGCACATGCCTGAGATCAGAAACCACCTTTGCTTGAACATGTTTCTGTGTCAGTGTGTTGTGTGTGTAACTCATAGCTAGTAATAATACCTTGGATGTCCCATGGCTCTATTCTGTAGAGGTCAATATCCATGATAACATCTATATCAAGCTTCTCGGAGTTAACCTTTCTCTTCAGATAGTATCCCACAAGCTCTTCTTCTGTTGGGTGGAATCTAAAACCTGGTGGGACACACGACTCCAGTTCCATTTCTAGATGTTCACTGATGCTGAGAATCAAAGCCCACAAAATATATATGTTAGAGAGAGAGAGAGTGCCATGCCAGTGAGGCAGTCACTAACTCATCAACTTGTTAACAGTAGATGACGTAAAAGTTCTGTTGATTCTCTTGCAAGTTTCAAATCTGAACTGGACCAATGTTGGGTCTATATATATGTAAATTGGCAGGACGGTCAGTGGGGCCCACCAATAAAGGGACAGACTTCTCCATGACAAAACTGTCAAGGATATCAGCATTCAGCAATATTGCACCTTGCCTCTAGCTGTCTACGCTTAGCCTAAAATATATCGAACGGGGGAGAGGGGCCGAAAAGATTGACTTTAAAAAGCACAGGCATAGTTGTTTTCTGTTGAGTGGAGTGCACTCCATGACTTGTCTATGGTGGTGGAAGCCATTTTCACCACCCACCATACTTCACGACCTCTCACTCAACAGCCGGAAAATATTTCAGGCTCGTAAGAGAAAACAACAACCCATTAACAATAATAAACAATTAATGTTTTTTGAGCTCACCAATCCGAACTATCCAAATTTATGTGTTAACCCTAGACTATGGCCTCAAAGTTCTTTGATCAGATACACCCGGCCTTGAATTGAGAAGAGGATTTCAAACAAACATTTGGTTAGAGAAGTTGGGTGGATTTGAAAACCACCTCTTGATTGAAATACTAGAGCAAGAGTTCAATTGATTGCTCACCCATAGAATCCTTTCTTTTCTTGAGTAAATGGTCTGAATCCCCAATAAATTGAAGGACGAGTTCAATCAACAATTGTTACAGTCTTCCATTAGAAACCTTTGAACTATAGGATGGGATATATTCTTATATGAAAACTTCAATTACTGACCAACAAAAGTACCTTAACTAGTATAGCTAGTGCTTGTTCTAACTCCTATAACTCATGGTAGCGTGGAGAGAGTAGAGAAAGAAGTTAAATTAGATACCATTCACTAGTATTCTTCTAGCTAGTAAAGCTTTGATATCACTAATAAATGATAATATGTTAAATAGTATAAGAAATCATACAAATAATATAGTACTGACCCGAAGATTCAATATGGCCGAGCTGTGTTCTTCTTGCCTCAGAGAGAGAGAGAGAGAGAGAGAGAGAGAGAGAATTGTAGTATATGAGTGACTTTGTGGTGTTCTTTCCTGATTTGTTATGTTATGGAGGGAGAGGCTTTTAAGGTGAACGCAAGATATAGAGAGAGGGGAGAGGGGACGACTAGATGAAAGGGTGTTATCAATTACGCGTGGGGTGGCAAGGATGAAAGGAAAGGGTTGTTTGGACGGCGTGACACCAAATTCTCACGCCACCCTCCACCGATATTTTGTGTCTCAAGGTTTTCCACATTCAGAGGCCATCCACATACAATTACACAACAGCATCTCAACAATCCAGCTCCTCTGAGTTAGGTGCGCCGCCCTCTGCCATGTGTTGCCCGCTGATACTTGACACTTGGATGCCATGTCAGAATTCCACCCATCAAAATCATACACCCAATCATTTCTGTCCATGTCAAATTTACTTCTTTTGTTCCCTCATGAACCCCACAAAAGGCACCACCCTTTTTACATGGCTTGGCTAGGCTTAGTTTTTCGCTCGGCTCGGCTAAAGTCGCCGCAAGATTAGAAATATTAAATCCCAATAATTAATAAAATGACAATTTCCTTTTTTATGCTACAAGTGGGAGTGCACATGCAACTATTAATAATGGATAGAAAATTAAAGATAAGAGATCTGTTTTATGTAGTTTTCCTGCATGCATTGAAGTAAGTATAGTGACATATTTCAACCATAAATTCTGTGGGCTAGTTAATTAGAGTCCACATCTGCTATCAACGAGACGCTACCAACACAGCTTCCAACATGATCTATAGCCACACAAATCGAACATGATTGCCATTTCAAAAGTATAACCCTATCATTTGCATCATACAAGTTCGAAACATGTTTGAGATGTGTGTGTGGTTATAGATCATATTAGAAGCTATGTTGGTAGCAGATCCAAGCAAAGTTAATTACTATGCCATATCTGCAATTTTTTTTTAGAAAGTGTGCATCCATCCTTTGCCAGGGCGGAATGGCTGAAAGGCATAACACAACTTATGTAACCAACCCCATATAATTGGAGGAATAAGGCTTAATTGAGTTGAGTTAATGTCCTTGTCAGCTTTTTCTCATCCTCATGAAGGTCTCCTTGTGTCTCAGCATTTGCAATTTTGTACATAATGGCTTCTCATTTTTGGCCGGATAACAAGTATCGGATTTTGAATGATTAAATCCATGAAAACATATAGAATGGAAATTATGGACAGTAATTACCCATTACGCCCAAGAATGCTGACGTTGATAGTTGGCAAATATTCAAAAATGTCTACCAACTTTTCTTAAACCAAATTACGTCCCCATTGAGGAGTTGGAGTTTGGAAGGGGGAGGATACCAGTTTATCTAAACCTTAGAAAGTAGAATCAACCTAAAAGGAAGTTGCACTTGGAACCTAAACCCTAAAGTTGTGTTTGATTTGAAGAAAAAGTAAAGAAAGGAAGAAAAAGGTAAGGAAACTTTTACAAATCAAACATAGCCTAAAGAAATATTTTGTGTTTGGCCTTTTTCTTTCATTCTTTCTTTTGTTTTCTCTATAAGATAATGTAAATAAGTTAGAACAAGGGTACGCTGTGGTCCAACTACATGTATTCAATCAAGATAATTGATGCAATACCCACTAGGTTGGAATTGATCAGGAAAATTAATCCCTTTGTTTCAAGGATACGACTCACGAAGGAGTGAAGAGATAAAGAAATGGAATGAACCAAAAGGCTTGTGTATCAGTATATGCATGCATGCCAGCCTTTCTAATAACAGAAACAACAAAGAAAAGAAAAGAAACTCACAGGCTTTCTATGATTACTATTTTAAAAAAAAAAAAAAAAAAAAAACAACTAACCCCTAACATCTAATATTATTTTGAAGTACCAACTTGACTCCACAGATTATAATTAACTACATTATTATCTGATATATAAATATAACTAATAACATATGTGCTAAAGAAATTCTATGCTGATTATTATATACTGGAGTAGTGTATTCTATGTGTATAAAGACATTACATATTTTATTTATCTAATTTGTATATACATAACATCATTAAGTTTCTACTTTAAGCAAGTAATAAAAGAATCCCTTCCTTCGGAATATAATAGGCATTGGCTTTTATTTATTATAAATACAGAGTATATGTGATAGAAAAGGAATTGCTCAAGAAGATAAAAGGCTTGCCTCACTCTACTCTCCCCACCCCTTAAAAACTAAAGAAGAGTAAAGGAGAATGTTTCCATTCAGATCATACAATTATGACAACCCCTTTTTACTACCACTTATCCTTCTCCATTTTTTGTTAGTTTTGGCAATCATGCTTGCAAGAACTTCTCCACTTAACAAAGAGAGATTTTGTGAGGCGCTTGTAGGTGAAGGTTTGCTTGAAATGGTGCCAAAGGAAGATGCCTATATGAAATTAATGATCATTGATTAAGTAGACCTCAAGATTTACTTTCACGGCTTTAACCAAAAACAAAATTACAGCCAAAAATAGAAATAAACACATTACTGTTCTGTACTACTGTTACCAGACGTACCATCAAGTGATGTGTTTACTTGGGATTTTTTTTTTAAAACCCCAAACTTTACTCTTGGTGGAGGGGCGATCATCTTAAATTTTATTAACTATTTTCAAAAGGAAAATTTGTATTAACAGGGGAGGACTTAGCCCGCCTTGCCCCATTACCCAAGCATACATAGCTCTTCCTCACCATCTCAGACCCATCAAAGATAAAAAGGCCTAGCAAAACCTAATTAATTCTAAGGATAGGAAAACCCAAATTATCTTCGTGAATAAGACGAACCAAATCTCTAAGAATTTGGGAATTACCATTGATCACTTTAAGCGTGCATCTTTCATCAATTCATTTGTTAGCTAGGAAATCAGCACAACGATTTCCTTCTAGTAAGATATGGGTCCACCTAATATTCATTCTCTGCACTAAGTTTTTAATCCTATGCAAAATGTAAACAGAATTCCAACGATAATCCGATCTACCCATTAGAATGTCAATAATGTCTACTTGGGAATTGTTCACCAATACGAATGATTTGTTTTTTTTTCAAACAAAAACAACCGCCACATACCTCACCAAAACTATTTTTTATTATTATTATTATTATTATTATTATTATTATTATTATTATTATTATTATTATTATTACTTTTATTTTGTTAATGTGATAGTTGCTTTCATATAGAAAATCAAACACCCTCTAAGTTAATCAATACATGGTATACTTCGGAGCTACTTCAGGCTAAATGGTTATGAATTATGACACAGCAAGTCTTTGAGTCTTTGACAAGTATAAGCATGCCAGTATAGCATATATATATATGCAGTATAAATATTAATAGATTAAGGCCACACTAGGACATAGAATAAATAAATGTTTATTAAAAGAGTTCAGCCGTGTTGTATTAAAGGACAAGTTATTCAACTGACTGCTTTTCTATCAAAACAGAAAGCTAGATGTTTGTATTTTATACAGGGTTTGCAATTCAGCTAACCACCCTAAAGAGAAAATAGAACAATATATTGTCTTCTACAGCAAGCTCATGGCTAGGCATTTTGAAAGTTGTTCTTTTCTGTCAACATAGAGAATATAAAACAGTACTGTCTGTTTCTTGATGATATTGTTCAACACCTTCCTAGGGAATAGGGAGATCTCTTGAGATTGTTGAAAAGGATATAAATATTTAATTTAAGGTTTTAAAAGTCATCAATTACTTCTTTACTTCTCATTGTTGTATGGTATACATACACAAATAAGGTTTTTTTTCCAACATGCATGATTTTGTTTAAAAATAAAAAATAATTTGTTTTTTTCTAATATAGCACTTGTTTTTGTTTTCAAAAGCAAAATCATGCATATTGGCAAATAACCCCTTATACACAAATACTTTTATGGGTTTTATACTCAATGGGATTCATGCTCCTTTGAAATATAATTAGAAAATGGTAGGGACTTGCTGAAGCTCTATCTGTTCAATTTTGTTTATAAATGACTTCCTAAGGCTGTGTTTGGTTGCAATGCAAATAAATTTGCACTGTAACAAAACTATGGCAGTGTAAATTATTTGAGTGCAAATTCTGACCTATTTTTGTTTCAAATTTTAGTTTATTTCGTTTGATTTCAGTACAAATGAAATAAATGAATACATAGAGCAGAATAAAGTAAAACCCAAAACAAAATTAATTCTTATTTGCATTTTTTCATTTGCACTCCCATATATTTGTACTAGTGCACATAAATTTGCACTGCAACCAAACACAGTATAAAATGTAGAATGAACCTAAATATCATGAAAACTGTTGATAAAATTTTAATGAGTAGTTCTTAATGACTATCATTTATCAGTCTCTATCTCTAGGGTTTGGGATGGAATTCCAGACCTGACTATATATACATACAAACATAAACATGCATACCAAACTTTGTATATATCTTGTTTATGGTTTACCTATAATTACTTCATGTAAGTATGTAGTAAGATGTCTAGAATCCTAACTTTATAAGGTATACATAATACGATTTGAGAAGAGAAAACAAGAACACTATTAGCAATCTTAATTTGCCTATCAATTATAATCAAGTTTTATCAAGTTAGAGCCAATAAGATAAATTAATAACAAAGATGGTTCTGGACTTCTGGGTACTGATAAACCGTATAAGTGTCTTTGTCTTCTTATCAGATTGGAATTAAATGTATCAGAGATCCACCCTAAGAACCTCTAGAAAAAGCAAGTAAAGAGAAAGTTATAAGGAAAGTAAAGATTGTGATTTGGGTACACACACTGCTACATATACAAGAGGCATGTCTTTAATTAACAATCAAAAGGCACTTTACTATTAGAACATGATTAGGAGAAAACCTATTATCTTTGTAATAATAAACAGAGGTATCTTTTGTCTCTCAACAAGGGGTATGCTCATTTATCAAAAACAAGGTTTGCCCAAATCACCGCCCACTAAAAGTAATAAATGTATTAGATAAGATGGGTACCATGTCATTTTCCTAGGAATCTTTTGACAATAATCCACTTAGGGCACGTTACATCTATGTTTAATTAG